CCAACAGTCAGACATCCCCTGAGGGGTCCCATATTGAAGAGGGTGTAGGCTGGGCTGAGGAGACTCCTCCACCCCCATGCACGAATTTTGTACACCAGGCCACTAGTAGTTATATCGATGAGTCCATACTTTATGACAGGTACCATACAAATCATAATAGATACAGAGATGAGTCAGCATTATAACTTATTTAACAAGCCTTACAGTTTGAGAGAGACTGGTTAAAAAAGAAAGAAACAAAAATAAACCTAAGACAATGTTTAATATTATAATGCCCCAAAGTTTTAAGAAACTATGAGATGTTCTCTTCGTTCTTTTGGGAAAAGTGGATGACAGGAATTATAGAAAGAAGAAATGGCATACAAAGAGCCCTGTAATAGTATGACTTATTAAAGGAACTACAAAGGCTTTCTAGAACATAGAAACTCTGACAGAATGACCATGGACAAGTTTGGAGAGTAGACAGGCATTTATATATGTTTGACTATTATCTTGTCTATTATATGTAATCACTGAAGAAATTTAATAGTAAATATCTCTAATGGCAAAGTGAAAATGTATTAGAAGATAGCAGATTTGGAAGAGACAGAAAAATTAGGAAGCTATTGTAATCCAAATGAGAGATGAATAAGGCTTAAGTTAAAGCAATATTAATGCAGTAAATAAATAGATTAAAATATATTAAAGAAAAATTGGCAAAGCTTGATGATTTAGTGTAGAATATTTTTGAAGTCCCTTTCAATGGGCTGAATTAAAGATGTGTGGGTTACTCAGGGATCTAAAATTCCTTCTGCTGTAGAACATTTAGATTCTACATAGGGAAATATGGGTCTTAGGAGTTCTCCAGGGCCTCTTCTCTACCTAATAAATTGGTGCCTCAAAGAGTAGGTATGCCCTGGGTCATATGCCTAAAAGAACAGTGCTTTGGGGATTTTAAGCTTTTAACCAGAAATTAAGTGAAAAATCTAGCCTGGAAATTTCAGGTTAAGCCAACATCCTTAAGAGAGGCTGATATGGTTCTGGTGGGCTCTCCTTTATATCAACAGAGATAAAAGCAAACACATACCCACATTAGTTCTGTTAAACTCACACAGATTAAAACCACAAATGTGTAACAATCAAAGATGATTAAATAATGAAATTGAAAGATACTTTGTATGAACATCAATAAGAAAAAACACAAAAAATTGTATCTTCAAGTACTATCAAGGTTAGAATTGTGAAATACAGGAAATAAAATGAACAGGAAGATTTTTTAAATTGAAACTTATAGAATTTAAAAATGCACTTTTGTAAAAAAAAAAATCTATGTATTGATGATTTGTCAGATTAGATAAAGTTGGAGGAAATTAGTAACCTGGAACATTTATATTAAAACATTTATCCAGAATACTGAGAGAAAAAGAGATGAAAAATGAAAAGGATATTCATAGATATGAAAGTTGAATTAGAAAGTTTAATTTACAAGTGATTAGAATTAAAAATTCAGAGATTACAGAGTAGATGAAAAATTTTAAATGATGATTGTCTTGAATATTTTAGAACTGATTGAAAGCATGACTGTACAGGTATAGGAATCACATGTAAAATAAGATAAGTTAAAGAAACCCATCCTAGATGCATGGTCCTAACATTGTAAAACACCAAAGATAAAGAGATAGAAGCACCCACTCAAAATAACAGGTCTGAACAAAAAGAGAAAAAATTAGTAAACAATAATGAAAGTTAGAAAAATGTGACATATTTTTAAAGAGTTGAGAAAAAGAATAATACTTGGTAATTTTATATGTAACAAAATATTTTCAAAAAGTATGGTGTGGTGGAATAATCTAAGATTTTAACTTATCCCAGTACCATTTATTTTTTGCTCCCCAGTTCAATGGGGCTATTTTTTTTTTTTAAATCACATTTCAAGTACTGTACCAAAGGGAGCAAAATGGACCTTACTAACAAATAATTTTACTCAATTATTTGTTCTGGCCTGTCTAATATGAATAAAGCTGGTTCCTTGAAGGCATTTGTGGAAAACATTTATAGACTAACTAGAGGCCCGGTGCACAAAATTCATGTCCCCAAGCCCAGCCTGTACCCTCCTCCCAACTACCCTCCCTTGCAAGCCTGGTCCCTCCCAATAGCCCTCCACGCTGGCCATCTTGTGTTCACATAGGGGCAGCCATCTTGTGTGTTGGAGTGACGGTCAATTTGCATATTACCTCTTTATTATATAGAGTGTCTTAGTTGCCACTGCCTGAGGTGATGTATAGCAGTTGGGGTAAATAATAGAGTAACCAAAAGGCTTAGGAGGAACACCTAATGAGATGTACATAAGGGTTTTAAAAACTTATAACATATTTTGAAATCTAAAGGCCACATGCATGCTTAGGACTGTATGCATACTCTGGAAAGAAGCACCTAAACTCTTAGTACCTAAAGAAGGACCTAATTTCTTACCTTCTGCCGACATGGAGACTCTATGGAAACAGAGTGTATGCTAAGGTAGAGTGGAAACCTGCCTAGCTGAGTGTTGAAGGGCTGTCCAAATACAAACACACAGCCCCTTGGGAAAGTCTGGAAGATATTCTTGTATTGGTGAGTGGTTTTCCACATGGATAATGAAGTTTCCCAGAATGACTGTGAGTCAGTTAAAAGGTGCTGTCTCTGCATGAAAATAAAACAACATACATTAGTTGACATATGATGCATAAGTGTCACAGATAGAACAGACTTTCAAGTAATTTAAGCAATTTTTCTGGTGTTTTGGAAGAAAGACTCTTCCCTTCCCCATCTGCTTCCTCGCTACCCATGCCTCTTTGTTTTGACAATCCACTGCTTTGCTCCTGAGTATAATACTAGCCAAATCTTGAGCCTCTCTACCTTCCTGCTTTCTTCAGTTAATCTATTTAATTTTTATGTAACTTTCACTAATTTGCATATATATGATTTTTTCCACCTGGCTTTCTACAGCCTCACACACTAAACAAAGACTTTGAACTGAATATCAACATATCACATCTTTCTCTTTTGAAACCTTAGTTATATAAAATGTAGGCCGATGATCTCATAAAAATTAATTTTTAGAGTTTCTTCCAGTGTTTGTTTAACTACTTATTTATTCAGCTCCCTCAATGATTGAGATTAAGACTTTCAATACTATATTGTTTGCCTGGAACATTATTTGTAGAGGAGTTGGACTCCCCCCTCCCCCGCCCCCTAACTATTATGGTTTCATTAAAATATATTTTATTGATTTTTACAGAGAGGAAGAGAGAGGGATAGAGAATTAGAAACATCGATGAGAGAGAATCATCGATCAGTTGCCTCTTGCACACCCCCCACTGGGGATATGCCCGCAACCAAGGTACATGCCCTTGACCGGAATCGAACCCGGGACCCTTTAGTCCGCAGGCCTATGCTCTATCCACTGAGCCAAACCGGTTTCGGCAGTATTATGGTTTCACATAGATCGCCCTAGCCTTGGATTCTTTGAATAACTTATGTTTTAACTTTGCTGTAAACTAGACAATATTCCTATTAGAATGTGCCTCTGTCCCTTTCAAGTGATATGAGAGATTACCTTTACATGTTTCTAAGTGCTATCTCCATAATCCTGCTGTTATGCAAGATTTTAGTGGTGCCTCTGTCATACTGCCAGGAAGTTCTGCTAATCCAGAGTGACAGTTACCCACATCTCATCATGGAGTAATGAATTCTATATCAGACCAGACATGGGTTTTGGGAAGATTGCTAATGAGAACTATCTTCACAACTGATCTCTCTCTCTCTCTCTCTCTCTCTCTCTCTCTCTCTGTCTCTCTGTCTCTCTGTCTCTCTGTCTCTCTCTCTCTTACCCCCCATCTCTCCCTCCCTCTCTCTCCCTTTCCGGCTCCCTCTCCCTCTTCTTCTCTCTAAAAATAAATTTTAAAATATCCTTGGGTGAGGATTAAAAATTATATTTAAGTCATAATTTAGGAATATCAGGATACATAATCATTTTATTTTTCTTGTACATATTTATCAGTGAAGATAAGTTTGCCATGGGTAGACAGAATGTAATGAAGAATAAATTCAGAATTGTATGAGTTGATATTTGGTAAATACAAAAGTTAAGACAAATTTAGAGCTAGCCTATTCTGATTGAAATTTATGACAACTTGGACAAAAAAAAAGGATAATTCATTTCAGTAATGAGCAGTAATAATAATGAATGATTTTGAAAATAGCCTCCTTGTTTAAAGTTTATGTGGAGCAAAACTAGATAATGGATATGAGTATGAAAACTAATTTTTAAAAAAGATGTATGTAAAGAAGATGAAATTAATATATAAGTTTGTCCTCTAAAACAAACACAAAAACAATAACACAGTATATTCTTCCACTTATTTATATCTTCTTCTCTTTTTCAACATCCTGTAGTTTTCTGAGTGCAGGTGTTTTGCCTCCTAAATTAAGTTTATTTTTAAGAATCTTAAATTTTTTATTGCAATGGGACTGTTTTTATTGGTGGTGGTGTTGTTTTTTCTCCTTCTGAGAGTTTATTATTGGTGTATAAAAGTGCCATTGGTTTCTGGGTGTTAATTTTTTATTCTGCTACATTGCCAAATTAATTTATTATTAAATCTAGTAGTTTTTTGGTGGAGTCTTTAAGGTTTTCTATGTACAATATCATATCATCAGCAAATAATGACATTTTTACTTCTTCCTTTCATATTTGGATGCCTTTTACCTTTATTTTATTGCTGAAAGTAACTTTACTAAATTCACTGGATAATTTGTTCACAGACACACTATTTATCAGAAGCCTTGCTATAACAAGTTTCATGACATATTTCTATATTTCAAATATCATTGAATTATAATTTCAACTATATCGATTTTATAATGTAGCTTTATCTGAAATATATGCATAATTAATGCTTATAATACTGAAGATTGATTATTCAAAAAGCTGGATTAACCAAAACTATTAAGAATAATAACTTCAAAGGTACTTTTCTTTTTAGATTGCTATGCCATGCTATGAAGGACCACATAGTTCGTGTTGCAAATGAAGCTGAGTTTATTTTGAACAGACAAAGAGCTGAGGATGTACATAAACATGCAGAATTTGAGGTAAGTTTTTTGGAGCAGAATAAATTCTGCTTTTCTGTTATCAGTCAACTATTGCCGATGGTAACCTTACATTAAGAAGTGTGTTTTGAAGAGAAAAATTTCAGGGAAGGCTTTTGAGTTCTTTAGTAAATGTCAAACTCAGAGCACTACTTTATTTCACCTCATGAAGAGATTGCTACAGCTCTGTCAATGACCACTCAGTAGACAGAAGTTATTCTAATTTATCCTTAAAGGCAAACAAAAATTTTAATGCAATTACTTTTGTAGTTTTTAAGCAAGTTAAGTTTACTAATCATTAGCTACGGGTATAAGAGGTTATATAAAGAAACTGAGTTTTACCAAACATTCAATAATTTATTATTGTGTCTCCATCTTTAGAGTGTTCACAGAACATTTTAGTTCATATTTTATTTTAATAACTGATACTTTATTGACAATTGAAGTATTGCTGTTGTGTGATATATATGTAGATCTATATGTATATGTGAAAATATAATAGTTTAAAAATCCTCATAAGTACTTTAAGTGAGGATAAATTAACTATCATTTTTATTTTCTTTTAAAAATATATTTTTATTGATTTCAGAGAGGAAGGGAGAGGAAGAGAGAGATAGAAACATCAGTGATGAGAGGAAACCATTGATTGGCTGCTTCCTGCATGTTGGACCAAGCTTGCAACCCAAGCATGTGCCCTTGACTGAAATCAAACCTGGGACCCTTCGGTCTGCAGGCCGATGCTCTATCCACTGAACCAAACTGGCCAGGGCTATCATTTCTATTTTCTATATAAACACTAAAGGAAGTAATATATATTTTATAAAAATATTTTTTAATTTAAAATATTATTTCTATTTATAACATGCCAATAATTATTCACCAATATTTATATTGCCTCAATTCAACAAATATTTTTATTTTCATCTTTTAAATATAACATTTATTTCAGTTAATGCACTTAACAAAACGAAAATGACTTCAGAAATATTTAGGGGACCTGGTGCTTGCCTTATGTTGGGCTATCAGTGGCCTTGAAAATAATAAGTAACTTCACCAAAGTATTCTTCTGATGCCATATATGAACAAGTGTTATATAGCTGGAAGTCATAGTCTAACATTTTAGTTTTGATGAGGTTTTTATCTCAAGTAAACCAGCTCTCACAGTCAGGCAAGGTGATATAGTAGGTCTGGTGATCTCTGACCTGTCCAACTGAAAAGCATGAGACAGAGAAATATTAGTTGTTGGCATTTTACTGCTAATACCAATAACCTCTGTATCATTTGCCATATTAAAGAGTATACACTTGTCATATGGGGTTGCATAAAACTTATTTGAAAAACAAATAACAAATATTTTAAACTTTGATTAAATTGCATTAACAATTGCTTATCAAAGTGAAGGTTTTTATTACCTAAACAATAACTACCATTTGGATATTTATCAGAATATTATGCTGTAATTCTAGGTAACAGTGTAGCTATATTCTATTATTGAAGAACACCTTTAGAGCCAAAACCAGTTTGGTTCAGTGGATAGAGTGTCGGCCTGCGGACTGAAGGGTCCCGGGTTTGATTCTGATCAAGGGCATGTATGTACCTTGCTTGCGGGCACATCCCCGGTAGGGGGTGTGCTAGAGGCAGCTGATCGATGATTCTCTCATCCATGTTTCTAACTCTCTATTCCTCTCTCTTCCTCTCTGTAAAAAAATCAATAAAATATACTTTTAAAAAAAGAAGAATACCTTTAGATATGAAATATGTCAGAACTCTAAACAAAAGAAGAATATTGAATTACTTTTTGACTTCTTTTAGTAAATAAGATTTAGAATGTTAACTGAATTCCATGCAGGATCAGTTTTGACTCACTTATACTCGTACAGGGTAGGAGCAAAAGTAGATTTACAGTTGTGAGTGCATAAAACAGAGTTTATTCTTGTGTTATTATTTATTAACTAGAAGCCCGGTGCATGAATTCTTGCAGCAGTGGGGTTCCTCAGCCTGGCCTGTGGGATCAGGCCAAAACCAGCTCTCTGACATCCCTCAAGGGGTCCTGGATTGCGAGAGGACTGGGCTAAGAGACCCCTCTGGTTCACAATCAGGGATAGGGAGGGACATGGGAGATCGGCCAGCCAGGGAGGGACTGTGGAATGGCTCCAAGGTGTGTCCAGCCCATCTCACTCAGTCCCTATCGGCTAGACCCCATCAGCAAGCTAACCTATTGGTCAGTCTGTCCCCTGGTAGTTAGTGCAAATCATAGTGACTGATCAACTGGTTGACTATCTGCCCCCTGGTGGTCAGTGCACAACATAGTGACTGGTCAACCAGTTGACTGTCTGCCCCCTGGTGGTTAGTGCACATCATAGCAAGCGGTTGAGTGGCATTAGCATATCATTAGCATATTACATTTTTATTGGTTGAACAGATGACTGGACACTTAGCATATTAGGCTTTTATTATGTAGGACTAGAGTTCAGTGCATGACATTTGTGCATGGGGAAAGGTGGTCCCCTCAGCCTGGCCTGTGCTTTCTCACAATCTGGGACCCCTTGGAGGATGTTGGACCTAAACTGGCAGTCAGACATCCTTCTGACAATCCAGGATGCTGCATGCACTAGTGACCATACTTTCTATACAGGCTAAAGGCATCTTGCTGTTGTATGGGGGCTACATTTATGTTTGCCCTAATTATAAAAAGTAGTACATAACATGATCCTTCTGAGACAGTAGTTACATTTTTCCCATCTTATGGGTGGAAAAACTGAATCAGAGAGAAGTTAAAAGTAGGCTTAAATTGGCTTTTGTCACACAGTTATAATTGTCAGAATCAGGGCTGACCACAAAATGTGCAAGCCAGAGTCCATGCATGTAATTGCTGCATCGTCCTGTTTTTTTGTTTGTTTTTTTGTTCAGTGTTAGAGTAGCCTTGCCAGGTTTTAATTTTTAAATCTAAGAGACTGTTCCCAATATATAGGATAGGGTCCCAAGGCCTGGCCAGCGATCAAGGCCATCTTTGGGGTGACCAGTGGGTGGGGAAATCAGAGGACCCCTGCTGGTATCTGCCTTGGCTATTGGTCTGGCAACACTTGCTTGCCTGCCATGCCCCCCCAATCACCACCCCTGATTGCCACATCAGTCACCTTCTTCTTGGGGGACAGATGCTCAATTTAGGAGCTGCCCCCTGTGTTGAGCATCTGCCCCCCAGTGGTCAATAAGCATCATAGCAACTGGTCGTTACGCCAGTCCTTCTGTTGTTCCATCGTTTTGCATATTAGAGTTTTATAATATAGGATTATTATATTATTTTCCATATAAACAACTGTAACCCTACTTTTGTCCCATTCTATATTTCTACTAAGAAAAGCAAGATTTTTACAGAGATATAAGCAAATTAATATTTGTCATGTGAAAACATTTAAAATAGAACTTTATGAAGCCAGATTTTAGTTACTAGCTTTAACACATAGCTACTTAAAATCCTATTAAGCTAAGTGCAGTGCTTTTCAAACTTTTATTCACTATTGCCCCTAAGAAATCTTTCTAGACAATTTTTATCCTAATTATTTCCCAGTGATATTTTACCTTCAATATGCTGCATATTTATTTCTGCATATTCATGTACTGTATATACATCTGTGCTTTACTTATTAAAATAGTAAGTTTTTTTTTCACATTCACCCAACACCAATTTTCACCCTTTTGGGAATGAGAGTAATTTATTGAGGCTGCATGGCAAAAACTGCTAAGGAGTTATGAAGGAGGACATGGAGACTCAATGATTTTTAGATTATCCTACCTAATAAAAGGGTAATATGCAAAATAACCTTCACTCCACTGTACCAACAAGCCATGCCCACCAGCCACACCCACCAGTCACGCCCACCAGCCAATCAGAGCGAGTATCCAAATAAACTAAACCAAGATGGCTACCAGATGGAGGCTTTGGTTTCCCTGGCAATGGAAGAAGCCAAGCTTTCCAAACACCCTGGCGGGCCCAGGCCTTTACTCAAGGATACACATTTTCAATTATAGAAGATAAATAAATCCAAACAGAAATGGCAGCAGCCACAGAGCAAGCAGGAGGCTTGGCTCTGCTCCAGGCTACATAGTTTCAATTGTAGAAGGTAAATAAATTCCAGACACCAGAGCCCCTGCTTGGGTCCGCCAGGGGCCATGGCTGGCCTGCAAATTACCACAGGCCCCTTACCCAGTCCTCCCAATGCCCTAAGGGAACCCCACCCTGATCCAGGACACCCTTCAGGGCAAACAAGTTAGCCCCCACCCATGCACCAGGCCTCTATTCTATCTAATAAAAGAGTAATTTGCAGATTGACCATCACTCCAACACACAAGAGAGGCGATCAACCTTACAGGGGAGGGCAGTTAGGGGTAACCAGGCTGACAGAGTAGGGAAGTTAGGGGGGCAAACAGGATGGCAGGGGAACAGTTAGACATCAATCAGTCTGGCATGGGAGTGGCTAGGGGGTGACTGGCAGGCAGAAGCGGCTAGGGGCAATCAAGAAGGCAGATAGAGGAGCAGTTGGGAGCCAGCAGCCTTGGATTATGAGAGTGATATCTGACTGCCCACTGGGATCGGGCCTAAACAGGACATCCCTCGAGGTGCCCCAGATTGGAGAGGGTGCAGGTTGGGCTGTGGGATACCCCCTCCCCCGTCCCTGTGCATGAATTTTGTGCCCCAGGCCTCTAGTCCTATACAATAAAAGCCTGGTATGTAAATCAATAGAATGGCAGAATGACCAGTTGCTATGACATGCACTGGACACCAGGGGGCAGATGCTCAATGCAGGAACTGCCCCCTGCTGGTAAGTGTAGGGGGAGTGCCACTAAGCCAGAAGCCCTGAGCTAGGCTCATGGCTGGCGAGCACAGTGGTGATGGTAGGAGCCTCTCCCATTTCTGCGGCAGTGTTCAGGGCTGTTCTGCGGCAGATGTCCAACTGAAGGCTTGGGCCTTCTGAAATTGAGTGTGGGGAGCGGACCTAAGCTGTCACTCAGACATCCCCTAAGGGTTCCTGGACTGTGAGGGGGTGCAGGCTGGGCTGAGGGACCCTCCCTCCCTTTAACACTCCCCCCCCACCGAGTGCATGAAATTTGTGTACCAGGCGTCTAGTGTATACATAAAATACTGACTTAAACATAATTTTGAGAGTCTTATCATTGTTACTTAATGACTATACATTGCTTATTAACCCAAATGTTTAATTTGTGTGTGGTTTTTTAGTTTAAGCTATATTAGTAAATGCACTGATATATGTGTATTGTGTTTTTTAGTTAAAGCTATATTGGTAAATGCATTGATGTGTGTGTGTGTGTGTGTGTGTGTGTGTGTGTGTGTGTTCACCAGTTATCATTTTTAAATTACAAAAGATTTTATAAAAATCATGGCATTTTAATAAGACTTTTTGAGGAATTTCTGTCTTCCATATAAGCCTCTAATTAAGGGAAAAAGTATGTTTAATGTGAGATGGGTATTTCATGGTTAAGTTTTTCTTAAGTTAACCACTGCAGTTGGTAAGGAAGAAAAATGAAATTTTAATTGTAGTCTCCTTTGAAAAAATGAAATATTAACCTCATTATGAGGCAGATCATTGTACTAATTGGTGATTCACTGTTCAAAAAGATGAATTGGAGTATGAATCAATTCTTCTTAATTTGTTATAATGACTTGTAGTAGTAGTTTATGGCAATAGATAGAGGAAGAGTTATGTTCAAATACATTCCATGACACAGCTTTTTCTATAGTAATGATGAATGTGAACTAGTTATGCATTTATTTAGATGTATATATTTTTCCTTTCTCATTATATAACTCATTACATTACATACTTAGTAATGTTAAAATTTGTAGTCAATTCACCCTACATGAAATTTATTAAAAAATCAAACATGATTAAAGAAATGATCATCTTGAACCTTTTAATACACAATGAGAATGATTAGCTATGTTATTAATACCAATGGGCATGAATACAGATAGCTAACATTATCCAAATTATTTTACATATACACATGTATAAACACATACAAAGAACACATTTTTAAAAGTTTGAAAGAGCACTATATTTGTTCCTTAGAATAAAGTTTCAAAAGATTATATTAACTGAGTTTATTAGCATTTAACTTAAAATTAGATACCATTCCTTACTAATGCACAGTTGAAGTTATACATTGTTTACGTTTCTTTACATAGTCACAGTGTGCCCAGTATGCTGCTGATAGGAGAGAGGAAGAAAAGATGTGTGACCATCTCATTAGTGCTGCAAAACATCGAGATCACGTTACAGCAAATCAACTAAAACAGAAGATCCTTAACATTCTCACAAACAAGCATGGTGCTTGGGGAGCAGTTTCTCATAGGTGAGTTATAACAAATTACGAGTAAATAACTCATAGATTAATTATGATAGAAGTAAAAATGACTAAAATTTTAATTATTTAGAGATTATGATTGAAATTATTAAAATTACCATAATTTTCGTATCTTTAATAATGTCTCTACAGTGGTTTAGAAAAAAACCTAAACTTTTAAAAGTAGCTCCAAAATAAGTTATTTCTAATTTAGAATTATGTGTAATATAATACAAAATTTGTTTAAGCAAGTATTTTAATATCAAGAATCAAACCTTTGCCCAGCTGGTATGGCTCCATGTTTGAGCATCCACTCATGAACCAGGATCTCATGATCAGCTTCCTGGTCAGAGTATATGCCCAGGTTTTGGCCTTGATCCCCAGAAGGGGCATGCAGGAGGCAATGGGTCCATGATTCTCTCATCATTGATGTTTCTATCTCTCTCTCCCTTCCATTCTGAAATCAATAAAAATATATTTTTTAAAAGAATCAAACCTTCCAACTTCATAAATTTATATCATTCTTACTTTTTTCTTATATACAAGTAATAATATAAACATTTATTATGGGAAGTGATATATTTTTCTAAATTTTTTCTTACATATTTTTTTTTTATTTTCTTGCTTTTAGGAAGGATTATATCTACAATTAGATCATTTATGATTATAGTACAATTAAAACCCAAATTGGTTTTTTATAAATTATGAATTAGGAGCATAACTTTCTTCTTCTTCTGTACAATGAACTTTTCTAGAAAACTAGTAGTGAAGTAGCTTATTTAGATTGTTAATGTTCTTCATTTGCATATCTTCACTTTATTTGATTCCATTAAGTATTTTTATTAAGTTTCTGGCTGGCAGAGTTTAGGGTTTGGTTAATTGTGTACAGGACACTGTCAAGAATAATTCTAGAAGACCCAAGATGGTGATCAACAAGAAGACAGAGAGGGAGAGTGTGTAAGAAGTGAGGGAGCGATAGAGGAGTGTGTGAACATGAGTGATGTGTATGAGTGAGAGTGAAGGACAATTAGATTCTGCAGGTCTTCCAAGGAGCTGCCAAACCAGGCAGTCTTAGACAACAAAACCCCACTGCTACGTGAGCTTAGAGACCACACCATCTTGAAGAACAGAACTGCTTAAGACTAGGATCATAACCTCGCCACTGCCCAGTCTGGTCTCAGAAGCAAACTGGGACCCTGCAGCCAGTGGGGTAAATGACCTGCAACCAGGCACCCCGGCCACAGATTTCTGTGAGTCACAGAGCCAATCCCCCTCCCTGGCAGCCCTGTGGCAGTGCTCTCTGCTCAAATAAGCCTCCTGGCCACTCATAACAGCAGTGGCTCTACCTGAATTTGAGCCTGGGTGCGAAGACATGGGAAATTTGTTTCCTATTGCCAGACCCCATGCTCACAAGAGCATTCATACTAAGAGACAGTGACTCCAGTTCTTGGTGCATGCGCACACAGGGACCCTGATTCTTGGTGCAAGGCCACACCAGGCAACAAAGGCTATGATACTCGATTCTCAGCATGGTCACAGGGGTCTCTGACACCTGACATGCACTAGGGAACTCTGATTTTTGGCACACGCCAGTGGGGTCTCTGTTTCAGCGCATTGCAGGTGGGGTCCCTGATTCTAGATGCACAAACGAGGCCACACTTAACACCTGTGACTCTGATCCTGGGTGAGTTTGGCTCCCACCAACTCACAGCAGCCACATGTCTTGGTATTGGAGCTCTTCAGTGACACTCAGGGGTGAGAAGCTCCCACTGCACACGGCCCACGCGCTCACAACTCAACATTTAAACCTTCTGTTGACAGTTAGAATGGGGCGACAATGAAACAATACCCAGAGGAAAGAAAGTGAGGAATCGGCAAGAAAGGAAATAAGAAAAAGAATTCAGAGTAATGGTCCTACAGTTCATACACCGGATAGATGAGAAAAATCAACAACCTATGCAAAAATAAGGGAGAAATCAAAAGTGATATAGCTATAATCAGAAACACCATAGGATGTTTCAACTTTAGACTAGAGGAATCAGAGGACTGAATTAGTTAGAAGATAAGGTACAGAAAAAAAACAAATCTGAACAGCAACTGGAGAAAAAAATTAAAAAGCAGGAGGAGAGCCTAAAGGAGGTTTGGGACAACGCAAAACGAAGTAACATATGTACTATAGGGCTGCCAGAAGGAATACAAGGGCAGCAAGGATTAGAAAATCTATTTGAATAAATAATGACAGAAAACTTCCCTGATATGGGGAAGAAAAAAATCACACAAGTACAGAAAGTCCCAAGCAAGATGAATCCCAAAAGACCCACACCAAGACAAATCATAATTGCAATGTCAAATGTTAACAACACAGAATCTTAAAGGCTGCAAGAGAGAGACAGGGAGTTACCTACAAAGAATCCCCCATTAGATTATCAAATGATTATTTAACAGAAACACATCAAGCTAGAAGGTAATGGAATGAAGTATACAAAGTGATGCACAGCAAAGGACTGAATCTAAGAATACTCTATCTAGCAAGTCTGTCAATCAAAATTGAAGGGGAAATCAGGAGCTTCCCAGACAAATAAATAAATAAATAAAAGACTAAAAAAGTTTATCACTACCAAACTCCTAAAGAAAGAAATGCATAATGGAATGATGTAAAAAGAGGAAAAATAGAAATGTAGAAAAAAAATACAGGCATAAAATATAGAAATGGCTACAAACAAGTACCTATCAATAATACCATTAAACGTAAATAAATTAAATGCTCTAATTAAATGACATCAAGTGAATGAATGGATAAGAAAACATGACCCAACTATATGTTGTCTACAGGAGATCCACATCAGAACCAGGGACTCACAGAGACTAAAAGTGAAGGTATGGAAAAATATCTTTCAGGCAAATGGATAAAAAAAATAACAGCTGGGATAGCAATACTTACTTCTAACAAAATAGACCTCAAATTGAAGACCATAATAAGAGACAAGGAAGGCCACTTCATAATTCTAAAGAGATCGATACAACAAGAGGAAATAACTCCAGTTATTCACCCAATGCAGGAGACCCCAAATTTATTAAAAAAACAAAAAACAAAAAAACTTCTAAAAGATATCAGGGGAGAGATCGACAGCAATACAATCATGACAGGAGACTTAAATACCCCATTAACATCACTGGATAAATCCTCTAGACAAAAAATTAGCAAAGAAACATCAATCCTAAATGACTCACTAAATCAGATGGACTTAATCGATATCTTTGGAACATTCCATTCCAAAACTACTGAATATACATTCTTCTCAAGTGCACATGGAACATTTTCAAAGATAAACCACATATTGGGACACAAGCAAACTCTCGCCAAATTTAAGAAGATTGAAATCATATCAAGCATCTTCTCAGATCAAAATGGCATAAAATTATAAATCAACTACAATGAAAACAATCACAAATATTCAAACACTTGGTATCTGATAGCATATATTAAAGAATGAGTGGGTTACCAAAGAGATGAGATAAGAAATAAAATACATTCTGGAGGGAACAACCAAGATGGCTGCATAGGTAAACACCTGTACTTGCTTCCCTTCACAACCACATCAAAACTACAACAAAGAGACAGAACAAATATCATCAGAACCATGGGAAAGCTGGCTGAGTGGAAGTTCTACAACTAGAAGAAAAAGGCACATTAAAACTGGTAGGAGGTGCAAAGGTGTGGAAGTGCGGAAATGCGCATGAAATGGGTGGGCAACTGGGTGCACTTTTGTTGTTTTTTCTATCAGGGAGGGGATACAAGCTCCCAATTGCTCTGAACTCCAGTTCTGGGGACCCAGACTCATATGGGTAGAAACTGAACTGTCTGGCATCAGGCCAGAACACGAGAATGGCTTTCTCTCAGAGGTGCTCGCAGGGATCATTGTTCCTGCACTGGGGCCCTGGGACACAGACCTGGGAACCTCTCCAGGGCAGGGCTGACTGCCAGCCATTGCTATTTGCTCGCCCTGGTGATTCCCTGAGACCCCACCCCACCCAATTTACAACCCCACCAATTCCAAAATTACCCAGAAGATGGAACTGCCAGATAAAGATTGAAAAGCAGGTATTAAAACCATATTTCACAAAGTAAAGATAAATATTCTTTTCTTTGTATCAAATCATCACATTGTATACTTCAAATGTATGCAATTTCATTTGTGAATTAGTAAAGCTAGGGAGGAGAAAAGCCTCCTAAAAGGATGTGAAATACCTTTCAGAGTAGAAGCTTTGCAGATAGCAGATGAGAAGTTGCCTGGGGTTAAAAGTTTCATTGATATATATATATATATATATATATATATATATATATATATCAGTATACATAAAATGTCAAAACATTATGCTATATTACTTAAAATTATCCGGTATAGTATGTCAATACATCAATAAAACTGTAAAAACAAAGCAATCTACATAATCCATGACAACCTAAATTAAAATCAAGATAATATAATAAACCCTTATGTAAAAAAACAAAGATATATACATGTGTATATATTTACATAAATACTTTTTATACATTTCATATATATTTTATATCCCCCTTTTTAGTATTATTTTTATAACCATGACCACTCAGATTATATTTTCTAATATGTTGGCAGAAATTTGCATTTATTGAGGGCAGTTACGTAACTGTCAGTAACTCTTTTAATATTTTTTACATCTAATGTGAAAAATGAAATGAAAAGCAGTTCTGAACTGGTTTTCTAGGCTCAGTTGGTTAGAGCTTTGTCCAGTACACCATTAAAATGGTTGATTTATTTCCAGTCAGGGCTCATACCCAGTTGTGGGTTCAATCCTTGATTGGGACACATACAGGATGCAACCAATGGGTGTTCCTCTCTCTCTCTCTCTCTCTCTCTCTCTCTCTCTCTCTCTCTCTCTCTCTCTCTGCATCCCCATCCCACTTCCTCTTTCTAAAATCAATAAAAATGTTTTGTTTTCATATAAAAAGCACTTCTTAAACA